GTCTATCTCCTCCTCATCCTCTTCCTCCTCCTCCTCCTCCTCCTCCTCCTCCTCCTTCCTCAAGAGATGGCTGAGAGTCACACAGATGTGAAAAGTTAAGGTGCTCTCAAGTTTGAGGCCTCTTTAAGGACGGAGCTTGGGTCAAATGCATCTGCTTTAGATTCCCAGGAGGGCCAAGGAGGAAGCTGCTTGCATTTCAAGCAACAGTTTAAGAAAACAAAAACAAAATAGGACCTATTTCTCTTGGCCCATTCCCTACCACACTTTAAAAAAAAAAAAAGAAGAAGAGGGGGAGGGGAAAGAACCCCCTTCTCTGTTATCATCCAATTTGCAACTGGCCTCACCAACTAAGCCACAGAGAAGCAGTAGATCAAGCTTTGCTCCTTGTCCGTTAAAGAATTAAGACCCAAGGATGGAGAAGACCGATTTTAGATGCAGGGACCGAGCAGCTCTGGCCAAAACAAGCAAGAGAAGAGGGGTGAGAAGTGGGGAGGGGGAGGAATCGTGCACAAGTCCAGAAAGGAAATTATTTTTAACGTTGTTGAGTAATGCGTACACACATCCAGCCTTGCTTCCTTCAAGCAAACTGAGAAAAAAATGCCATTTGTTTATGCCTGGGAGATTTTGCGGTATTTTAGCATTCACTCCAGCGTCTAAATATGGAACACTATGGTGAAATAACAGCCCATGAGAAAATGCGTAACAATATATATTGTTAGAGAGACACAGTACACATACATACACGCACATATTTTGGACTTCAGTCCTTTAACTTTAACCTTTAATCCTTTTAACCTTTTAACTTTGAAAGAACAAGGGAGGAGGAGGAGGAGGAGATAGACAATAAGGAAAAGAGGAGGAGAAGGAAAATGAGGAGAAGGAGGAGGAGATAGACAATGAGGAGGAGGAGGTGAAGAGGAGGAGGAGCTAGATAGAAAATAAGGAAAAGAGAAGGAGAAAGAAATAAGGAGAAGGAGGAAGAGATAGACAAGGAGGAGGAGGAGGTGAAAAGGAGGAAGAGGAGATAGAGAAGAAGGAAAAGAGGAGAAGGAAAATGAGGAGAAGGAGGAGAAGATAGACAATGAGGAGGAGGAGGAAGTGATAGACAGTGAGGAAAAGAGAAGGAGAAGAAAAATGAGAAGGAGAGGAGGAGAAGATAGACAATGAGTTGGAGGAGGAGGAGGTGAAGAGGAGGAAGAGGAGCTAGACAGACAATGAGGAAAAGAGAAGGAGAAGGAAAATGAGAAAGAGGAGGAGATAGACAACTCTGTTACTGACATCGGTTGAGTTTTGCCCCGTTTAATGACTTTCCTCACCACACTTGTTAAGCGAATCACTGCAGTTCCTGAATTGGTAACACGATTGTTAAGTGAATCCGATTTCCCCATTGGTGTGGCTTTTCAGAAGGTCAGAAAATGGGATCACATGACTTCCGGGACACTGCAACGGTCATACATGTGAGTCGGTTGCCAAGCATCCAAATGTTAATAAGTGTGAAAAATGGCCCACAAGTCGCTTTTTTCCAGTGCCTTTGTAACTTCGGTCACTAAATGAACTCGTTGTAAGTCAAGGACTGCCTGTATTTCCTCTACAAAGTTATCATTAATACAGTAGCTATAATTTATGGGGGAAATGGTGGAAGAGCTGTGGTGGCGCAGTGGTTAGAATGCAGTACTGCAGGCTACTTCTGCTGACTGCCATTTGGCAATTCGAATCTCCCCAGGCTGAAGGTTGACTCAGCCTTCCATCCTTCCGAGGTGGGTAAAATGAGGACCCAGATTGTTGGGGGCAAGAGGCTGACTCTGTAAACCGCTTAGAGAGGGCTGTAAATAGTGGTGGGATTCAGCCAGTTTGCACCACTTCGGGAGAACCGGTTGTTAACTTTCTGAGCAGTTTGGTGAACTGGTTGTTGGAAGAAATCATTAGGGCAGAGAACCGGTTGTTAAATTAGTTGAATCCCACCACTGGCTGTAAAGCACTATGAAGCAGCATATAAGTCTAAGTACTTTTGCTATTTTCCTTCCTTCCTTCCTTCCTTCCTTCCTTCCTTCCTTCCTTCCTTCCTTCCTTCCTTCCTTTCCTTCTGTGGTGCTGCATTGGTTAGAATGCAGTATTACAGTCTGACTCTGCCCACTGCCATGAGTTTGATCCTGGTTGGGATCAAACTCATCCAGTATACAGGATGATTCTGTATACTGCTATAGAGGGCTATAAAGCACTGTGAAGCGCTATATAAGTATGCTATTGCTATTGGTTTCTTCCTTTCTTCTTTCTCTCCCTCCCTTTTCTCCTTCCTTCCTTCCTTCCTTCCCTCCCATGGTGGTGCAGTGGTTAGAATGCAGTATTGCTGGCTAACTCTGCCCACTGCCATGAGTTTGATCCTGGTTGGGGGCAACAGGATGATTCTGTAAACTGCTATAGAGGGCTATAAAGCACTGTGAAGTGGTATATAAGTATGCTATTGCTATTGCTTTCTTCCTTTCTTCTTTCTCTTCCTCCCTTTTCTCCTTCCTTCCTTCCTTCCTTCCTTCCTTCCCATGGTGGTGCAGTGGTTAGAATTTAGTATTGCTGGCTAACTCTGCCCACTGCCAGCAGTTCAATCCTGACCAGCTCAAGGTTGACTCAGTCTTCCGTCCTTCTGAGGTGGGTAAAATGAGGACCCAGATTGTTGTGGGGCAATATGCTGACTTTGTAAACAACTTAGAGAGGGCTGTAAAAGCACTGTGAAGCGGTATATAAGTCTAGATGCTATTGCATTTAAACTCCAGGTCCTCTGGTTCTTCCTGTTCCAATTTAATTAAATCCCCATAGCATCAGAACATCCAGTCCTAAGATTTTGGCCACCCCACCAAAGAACAGCCCTAAAATGAGGGCTAGGTTAAGCCATCTTTGTTTATTTCTTATGGAGATTGCTACCCCTGCTGTCCAAATTAAATCTCCAGGGTGACTCATTCCGGTGCATTTCCTGATGCAAGACACAGCCAAGAATAAGCTCGCAAATAAATATGCAAACAAGCCAACAATGGAGATAAACCTCATTGAAACAACCTCTGTTCTTTAATTGATAAGTTTTCAAGCCGCTGAGACGATACGGTTTTCATGCAAAAAAAAAAAGGGGGAGAAAGCACTGAGAAATGTGGGTGGATTTCAACCTTCGGAGAAGGACAAGCCATGTTTAATCTAAAAGAGACGTGCCTGGAGATGGAAACCCTGGTTGAGTTCCTATAGCAGGTAAGATGATGGCTTGAGTGCATCCACACACCCCGGTTTGTTTGGTAAGCATTCATATTTGGTTGGCTTGCAGCTTAAATGCAAAGGTTCCCCTTGCACATCTGTGCTAGTCGTTCCCGACTCTAGGGGGCGGTGCTCATCTCCGTTTCAAAGCCGAAGAGCCAGCACTGTCCGAGGACGTCTCCATGGTCATGTGGCCGGCATGACTCAACGCCAAAGGCGCACGGAACGCTGTTACCTTCCCATCAAAGGTGGTCTCTATTTTTTCTACTTGCATTTTTTACGTGCTTTCGAACTGCTAGATTGGCAGAAGCTGGGACGAGTCATGGGAACTCACCCTGTTATGCAGCACTAGGGATTCGAACCACTGAACCACCGAACTTTCAATCTACAAGCTCAGCGTCTTAGCCACTGAGCCACCTTGTTTGCAGCTTAGCACCACATATAACATGGGTTAGTTCAGTAACACTGGTCCGGTAATGAAGATATCGAATAAACACTAGGGAAACCATGGTTCCAGTTGTCCCAAAGGTGCTTTTTCAAAAGGCAACTGGACTTTGTTTTTGCTTGATGTTTCCTTGAAGTTCTTTTGTTTCTCATCCAAAAACCTTCTTCAGAACTGAAGAAGCTTCTTGGATGAGAAGCGAAACCTCTTCAAGGAAAAACAAGGTCCAATTGCTTTCTGAAGAACTGAAGAAGCTTCTTGGATGAGAAGCGAAATCTCTTCAAGGAAAAATAAGGTCCAGTTGCCTTCTAAAGAACTGAAGAAGCTTCTTGGATGAGAAGCAAAACCTCTTCAAGGAAAAACAAAGTCCAGTTGCCTTCTGAAGAACTGAAGAAGATGAGAAGCGAAACCTCTTCAAGGAAAAACAGTTGCCTTCTGAAGAACTAAAGAAGATTCTCGGATGAGAAGCAAAACCTCTTCAAGGAAAAACAAGGTCCAATTGCTTTCTGAAGAACTGAAGAAGCTTCTTGGATGAGAAGTGAGACCTCTTCAAGGAAAAACAAAGTCCAGTTGCCTTCTGAAGAACTGAAGAAGATGAGAAGCGAAACCTCTTCAAGGAAAAACAGTTGCCTTCTGAAGAACTAAAGAAGATTCTCGGATGAGAAGCAAAACCTCTTCAAGGAAAAACAAGGTCCAATTGCTTTCTGAAGAACTGAAAAAGCTTCTTGGATGAGAAGTGAGACCTCTTCAAGGAAAAACAAAGTCCAGTTGCCTTCTGAAGAACTGAAGAAGATGAGAAGCGAAACCTCTTCAAGAAAAAACAGTTGTCTTCTGAAGAACTAAAGAAGATTCTCGGATGAGAAGCGAAACCTCTTCAAGGAAAAACAAGGTCCAATTGCTTTCTGAAGAACTAAAGAAGCTTCTTGGATGAGAAGTGAAACCTCTTCAAGGAAAAACAAGGTCCAATTGCTTTCTGAAGAACTGAAGAAGCTTCTTGGATGAGAAGCGAGACCTCTTCAAGGAAAAACAAAGTCCAGTTGTCTTTTGAAAAAGCACCTTTGGGACAACCATGACCTGGATATAGTAACTGAGAAGCTCCATGGACATGGTCCCAGTTCACCTTCAAACTAATTTTCTGATCAGTTATTGGTTGAGTAGATAAACAGCTCCCCCATCTTTTAACCTGGTTAGGGGCTGAGGATGAAAAGGAGTTGTTTTGCAAAGGAGCAACAGTGACCGGATGGCAAACAGAAGTAAGAACATGCTTACTCCATTTCAATTAAAGTTTGGAACAAGTGATTGAATTGGTAAATACGGTACTTACGTGTCCACAAATGTCCGACTGAGGTCCGAGATGAGAAAGGAAGGTCCTTTCTGAAACGGAGGGTCCCGGGAGACTTTGTAGTGGATGGGCCGGCACTTTTTACACTGCGAGCTCTGGGGAACCGAAGTGATCATAGCAGCATCGATTTCCAGTTGTTCGTCTAAGGTGTAAATCTGTATGCCTTGGACTTCGTCCTTCATCTTCTCTGTATCCAGTCTGATGGTCATGGGGACATCACAGAAGAAGTTCTGAGGCCCAAGCGAAACGTTTTCTCCGCCAACCATCAACAATTTGACGTCGTTTATGGCTTCTTTGGAGTCCCACTCGGGGGAAACATAAGTCACCCAGATGGTCAGAGATTCTGGGACGACCGGATATTGGAACTGAAGCTGAAGGTAGCATCCTTGAGGTTCAGGGCAAGCCGGTGGGACAGTTTGCTTGATGACCGCTGAATTGGGAGTCCACGTTCGGACGTCAGGTTTACATGGCTGCTCTACATCTGGGTGGCCTTGAATAGAGGAGAAGGAAAAAAGGAAGGAGAATGGAATCAAACTTGCAGGAGCCAGCTGTTTTGCCAACTCTTTCTCGTGGTGGCTGCTTAGCTCCAACAACTGCTTCCTGTTGGGGCCCTAAGGAGCTTGGGTGGGCAGGCGAGGAGTGGCTGGGAGGGGAGGGGCGAGTAGAGGCTGGCGATGCGCCCCTCGACGTGAGTGACATCAAGTTGACCACACCTACTCAAGTCACATGACCACCTAGCCACGCCCACCCAACCAGCCATTAGGCCCTTAAAACCCACTTTTTCCAGCAAGCCGGGCTGGCTTAGGAAGAAATTTTTTAAATTTTTTTAAATGTTTAATTGGTTTGTGGTTTTTTTAAATTTTGGGGCCAAATTTATATAGATTTTAATTGTTTTTAATATTTGTATTTCATGTTTTTTTAATTCTGGCTGTGCACCGCCCTGAGTCCTCAGGGAGAAGGGCGGTATATAAATTGAAAATAAAATAAAAATAAAATAAAGTAAATAAATAAATAAAATATTAGTGGTCCGCGGGATTTAAAATTATGAATTTAGTGGTCCCTGAGGTCCGAAAGGTTGGTGACCTCCAAGGTCCCTTCCAACTCTATTCTCTATTCTTATATTTCAGGGCTATTCTAGAAAACGGGAGAAAAGTACATTGCGGATTCACCCTCTGAAATCACAGAAGCACGGAGATTTATTATTATTCTTTCTTTCTTTTTTGCTTTTCAAAGAAAAACGGCACAAGGTCATAAAAAATGGCAACTGACAAAAGCAGATGAAAAGGAAACAGATGTCAAAGAAGGATGCAAACCTCGGCCGCCGTTGCAAGATTGAGTAACAGAAAGAGATTCTGTTTTGGTTTTTGTTTTTTTGCACCAGTTCGGAAGAAAACAGAGTGAGCAAACATCCTATTTTTATTTATTTTTTTTAAAAAAAGGCCAGTCTTGATTACGAACACGGCCAAGGAGGAGAGAAAAAAAAAAAAAGGACTCCACGCTTAATGATGAATTTGTTGCTCATCGTTCACTGCTACTCCGCTGATTGCATTCTTTTCGCCTTCCCTCTGCAAAATTTGTCATCCTTTCTAGAATATTAACCGTGCTTTCTGAAGGGGGCTTCCAACGTTTATTTGTAGGAACTGTCTAGCGGCATGCCCGACCATGCCTCTCTTCCTCCATCCTACCAGTTGGGAACCTTGCCCAGGTCGGGAACTTGAGGCTGACCTTCAGCTCCTCGGGGGCTCCAGTGGCCTGACGGGTCGCACGGCATCGGCGAAGAGGCGCTGGAAGCGTATTGCACCAGAATTTGTTCTTCCCCGCACAGCTCGCACGATGATCCCACTTCTCTAGGTGGCCAGGAAGTAAAAGAAGGAAATGCTCCAACTTAGTAACAGTTGAAAGGAACATTCATTCATTCATTCATTCATTCCTCCCTTCCTCTGAGTCCTTCATCCTTCCACTGAGTCCTCTTCCTACCGTCTTCCTCCCTCCCTCCCTCCCTCCCTCCGAGTCCTTCCTCCTTCCCTCCATCCTTCCTTCCTTTCTCCTCTCCCTTTCCTTCCTCTCCTTCCTCTCTTCCTCCTTCTCTCCCTCTTTCCTTCCTTCCTTCTTTCCTTCCTTCCTTTCTTCCTCCCTCCCTCCCTTTCTCCCTTTTCTCCCCTCCCTCCTTCATTCCTCCCTCCCTCTCTTCCTTCTCTGCCATGATACAATATGTCCTTCCTTCCTTCCTTCCTTCCTTCCTTCCTTC